GCAAGGCACGCAACTGGGTCTTCTCCTTATCAGTAGTGGGACTGGAGGGGTCCTTACGCCTACTGGAGTTCACACCAATTTCATGGAGATTTTCAAGGTAAGTAGGTTGGGACAACTCGAACCCTTTAGAGTCTTGCTCAACAACCACCCCACACTGAGCGAACTTCCCACAATCCCAGTCTCCCCATTTGTACTTGTCTTTAATGGCCCTCACCTTGCTCTCCCATAGGCGGTCTCCACTTTTTCCTGCAAACAGAAAATCGTCAACGTGACCGCTGATCACGCCTTTGAGTACGCCGTTTTCACGGAGTACCCAGCAGCATGGGTCAGCCCATAGTCTTTCGAATCCTATTTCTTGTAGGAAACAATCTACTGACCGCCACCATTCAAGAGGAGCATCTACCAGGCCGTAACAAGCGCGCTGGACCCTTGTGATTGAGCCGGCTGGGATGCCGAGTGCAGTACAAATTTCTGGCGTGGGCACACAGAACAGCTGGTCTGGGTACTGTCGTGATTGCAGAAAAGCTCCGGTCACATCTCCCTTCGACAGGGACCACCGCTTCCAAGATGCCAACTGGAGAACCATCTGGCGGGTCTGTCGTGACATCACCGGTGAAGTAGTCGCGCGGTGCTCGTACGAAGCATCCTGAACGGCCCTCGCTTTTGGTTTGCGCGACCCATCCTCTTTTAGTTTCCACGTCAGGATCCAGCGCATTCCTATTGCCTTAGCACGGTCAGGCTTGAGATGGTCTGGCAAAACCTCAAAGGCGTTGGAGGCGACGAAATTTTTCACTTCTACCGCCTTTGCTCCTTCGAAAGCTGCACGTTCCGCTACTGTCATCTTGCGTTCTGACAGTTCCACGGCTCGTCTTTTCATGCTGCCTACAAAGTAGCTGCCCAAATCCGCCCATGCTTTGTCCAGGCCCCTTTTTGTGTCCGGCATCGGGATCTCCACCGCCACGGCTGCGTCGCTACTGGCCCAGTATGAAGAACCTTGCGTTGGCCATGCGCTGTCTGCAATGGTTGTCCACCAAGCCGCTGCAGCTGTCCCAGTCGATCCTCGTGAGCTCTTCTCGCGGCTTCGTGATCTGGCCCTTGATGGTGCTGAGTCCTCATGGAGCGGTTCCAGGTCTGGAATATCCAGTGGTTCGTCCTCTTCTGGCGTAGGATTGTCGATGGTGAGCTCTGTTGCGGCCCTCTTGCGAGATATCCGGACCTCACCGGTTGTGCCTCGTCTTC